AAATATTTGCATAAAACAAGTTGGGTACTGTAGTGAGAGATCACTGATGGAGGAAAACACAAAGGTGTAAAATTCTAGTTTTAGGACAGAATTTTAGATGTGTCCAGAAAGATGAACAGAGCTGTAGATGATTCCATAATAATTGAGAAGGTGGCATCACATTGAAGTTGTGATTAGTTCACAGAATGCGTTATATCCAAAAAATAAGCAAATCTTAAGGGAGACAGTGTGACTAGAAATAATTATAGACAAAAAGTTAATTATTTATCATTTAGCTTGTTCTTGCAACCCCACCACCCCCAAAAAACCTATTTAATACTAAATCTATTACAGTTTGTACACTTTCTGTGTACAGCGCTATACAATTATTGAATAAAATAACAATATAAATGTAAAAAGTGATCCCAAAGTTTTGAACAGGAGTGCATATGATTCACAGTCGATCAACAGGAACTTCAAATATGTATTATAATTATATATTTACTTTTTTTTTTTTACCTAAGAAGTGATGACTTAAAGCTTTTTCAGTGCACTGGACAGTCACAGTAAAACAAGTGCATGAGCTGAAATCGAGAGCTTTAAAGTAGTATTTCCCTTTTGAAAGCAGATCTTCACACTGAAGTCTTTACAAAATAATCAGGCTGTATCTTAATCAGGTTCTAGCCTTAGTTGTTAATGGACAAAGGGGCAGTGTAAATGAATCGTTGCCGGTAACTCCAGACAAAGCAGGCTGTCCACAGGGAAGACTCATTCATCAGCGATGTGTCAGGCTTTTAACTGCCATGTGTCAAACACTCAGAGGAAGTGCAGGTGTGGGTTCTGCTCCCACACGGAGCTCCTGAGCCCAGCACTCACATGCCGCACTCTGTACTTTACGAGCAGAGGGCCGGACGCCCAGCATGCTTTCAGCTGGGAAAATAGGGGACCTCACTGAGAATCTATCAGCAGACACATTCTGGGGGGAAAGTTTCTCTTTCAAATGGGTGGACACTGAAAAATGACTGCAAATAATCTGCAGGTCTGGGTATTTCATGGACAGTTTACTGGCTCTGTATCCATTTTGCGTATCACCTCCCTGTATCAGTAACGTTTTGTTGAATTTCATAACCTTTGTTGTCTCCTAATTGAGACTCAATTAGAAAAGAGACCAGCTAATACTGTGCTGAATACTTCTAATTCACTTCACCGTGTTCAGGAAAACATGGGACATGCATTTAACATGTTTCAGCGATTGTCCTTACACATTGTGACAGTATCTTCCTTATCCTTACAGTATTGTTCTTATCTGCCAAATCAAGCCCTGAAGACTCATGAATGAAACATTATTCTGTCATAAAACTATCATTTATTGTTGTTTGTCATGTTATGTAGTATTCTGTAGTGTAGCACTCAATTCAAGATATAATTACATTATTTTCACACCTTCATTCATCAGTGTTCTCTCACTACAATACCCAGCATGCATTACATAAACACATCACAGCACCATTGGAAATCCCTGTGGTGTCAACCACTTATTACAGCTATCCTTGCCACTGAGCCCTAGGCAAATAAATACAACAGAGCAAGCATAAGTGTAACTCTTATCTCTGTGGTCGAACAAGATTGTTTTTTCCTTTATTAAAGATACTGAGTTGAAGAATGCCCACGAAATGCAGAGTACACGTATGTGGAAAATACAGACAAAGTCTAGCGCCAGAGCAAGTGTTTAGTGCACTGGACAGTACTCCGCCCCATACATAGGACACTGGAGATCAAGCAAGAATAAACTCTCTGAATAAAAGATGCCATGGAAAAAGTCAGTATATTTTAGAACGTGCAGCACTTCAAACCAGAGGACTACTAGAGAGATTTGAAACAAAGTATTTGACAAAGAAACTTGCAAAAAAAAAAATACTTCTGAAAGACTCAGCCTCTCTGGGATGCTCATTTTATACCCAATCATGTTACTGACCTGTTGCCAATTAACCACCTGGTGTTTTTTTTTAAGCATTACACAACTTTACCAGTCTTTTGTTGCCCTGCCCCAACTTTTTTGGTATGGGTTGTTGGCATCAAATTGAAAATGGGCAAATATTTTTCTAAAAAAAAACAATAAAATTTCTCAGTTTCAACATTCGATTTGATGTCTTTGTACTATTTTCAATTAAATATAGGGTTTAAATGATTTGCACATCATTGAATTTTTGTATTTTTTTATTTACATTTTGCACAGCGTCCAACTTCTTTTGGAAGTGGGGTTGTAGTTTTCTTAGTCTTTAAACTGGATAATCTTGCTCTAGACCAGGGGTGTCCAATCTTATCCGCAGAGGGTTGGTGTGGCTGCAGGTTTTCAACCCAACAAAGCAGGAGGCCACCTGATGAAATGTTTGAAGACTAAGACCAACTGATTGAACAAGTAGAATCAGGGGTGCTTCAGCTTCTCCAGAGTGAAAACCTGCAGGCCTTTGTGGATAAGATTTGACACCTCTGCTCTAGAGACTATTGCAGCACCACCGAAGGATGTGAGTGGGCATGTTCACAATAAATGTAGCAGCTATTGATACATTTGTTTTTTAAAGTGTCACTTCAGACTTTTAATATAGATCATATAGTCACTTATCATACTTTACGATCTCTTCAGCGATGTATAAGCAGCAGTTTTAATCAGTTTAACAGAAAAAGCATGTTGTCATTTAGTATTATTTTTCACTCCTGGCTGAAGATATTCTGTTGGAGGTGTGGATAAACTTTCTATCAACACCACATTTTTGTTCAGAAGTGGAAGAGGAGATATTTTTCTATACTTGGAGTTTGATGAAATGTTACTGTTATGTTTACAGTCTTGTTTTCAGAAACAAAAGTTTTGGCACGTTGTTGTCAAGTTTTGAAAGAAAAAAACACAAAGTGCAGATATAAAACTGTACAATATCAATTTAATTAATTAAATAACTAATGCACAATTATGTAATTACATTTAAATAACTATAATGCAAGTTAAATGTATAGCAAAATAACAATGATAACTCTAGACTTGCAAATGTGAGTGCCAGTGTCTCCAGTATACTTAGTTTTGTCAGTCCTTGTACCCTTTAACTTGTCCTTGGAAACAGTGGCCTTGAATTTCAGTTTCAACTCAGCATGCAAATCTATCAGAGAGAAGAAAAGAGGGGGTGGTTTCAGGAGAACAAGTGCAGGAGCTCCCCTGCTGAAGTATGGTTACTCTATAAGAGTCTTTCCTTGGACTTCTTAAATTGCCAACATTTAGATGCTGGAGATTCTAGGCACAACAGACACAGACAGGTCACACACTGACAGCTCTTCTCCAAGATAAAAAACAGTGATTTACTTTATCGGGAATGTTTTGGAACCTGGATGCCCTATTGCATCAGCGTTGCTGTCCTTTTTTCCATGGCATCAGCATACTTGCTGATCGGGAGCAGTCTGTTGTCATTCATCCTCACCTGTGATGTCGCATTTGCACATTCATGCACCAGTTTGAATATATCCAAATGAGCTAAACCCCATAACAGCCATTGGGTTGTTTCATCAACTACATTTTGTTTCAGTTTTACTTTATTTGTATATTTGATAAGCTGACATCACCTTCAGACTGTAAAAAATGAAGTCATTTGTTTGCTGGGTTATCAATTGTTCCAAATCTTGGTAAACAGTGGAAGGAAGGCTCCAGTGGCATTTCCACACCATTTGTAATCTCCAGTGATGTGTTCATGGTAATGTTAGTCAGTGATCCCTACCACAAATCCATATCCACAACCTCCAGCTGCGGTCCACGGACAGATAAGGGTCTCTCCGAACCTTTCACACATAAGGGGGTATCTCTTTTTCCTTAACAAAACCAGGAATGGTCTTGTGTTATCGGTCAGATGGAGGTTAGGCAAACTATGAGAGACATGCAAAGCGAGAGTACTTTGTGCAGGCTAGGCTCACCTCCAGTATGGAAAATACAGGTGTTACAGCAAAGCTTTAGGTTCCTCTAGGAGACAGACAAGGCTTGTTCAATCAATGTTTTCCCCCTCTCTCTCTAACGACGTATTATATGATAAGATCATTATGACACAGTTTAAAAAACAAAATCAAAAAAGAGACTATTAGACTCCTATGTGGTGATATTGGAGTACAACTCCTGAACCTATATTCATAAAGCTTCTCAGAGAAGGAGTACTAATCTAAGATCAGATTTCGCTCTTATTTTTCTGTCATTACTAACAGGAACAGATCCTACATTTGCCTCTAGAGGAGTCTCTCTCTGCCTGGTGTAGTCTGCCACCTGCTGGTCACATTTCAACAAAACTGGCTGAACAAATTATTCCACACCTTGTGCCTCTGGTTGAAGAACTCAGAGATACCCCATAGGCATAGCTACAATCAGAGCTGGACAATTCAGGCCTACAAAGCAAACCACCCTCCCCGGGATTTGGTCCAACTCCCTGGCCTCTATAGTTTGCTCAAACCAGCAGCAGAGGTGTGTATAGGCAGTAGGAACACAATCTTTGGGAGGATTTTTATTTTCTGAACCTGAATTACCCACCTCTGCCTCAGAAACACTGCCTTTACTACATTCCCATTTTAAAACAGGCCTCCAACACCAGCCCAAGACATACTGGCAGTATCCAACAGTTCTGGGCTCGGTTTAATTAAATACTGTACCGGACTGCACTGCCTGTGGAAAAATGCCTAAGGAGTGCCAGCTTTAGTGCAAGCTTATTACAGTTTTTAAATCTTCATTAGTTTTTGTTTAGGTTTATTTCCTAAAAAGGAAGAATTAGAGATTATTGTTACAAGTTAGAGAGTTTTATTTAGTTTTACTATGTCAGAAACTCAAAATAATTACAAATTGGGCTCATTTCCTTTCAATTTAATTTTGCTGTGCTGAATAGAAATAGCAGACTATGTTCAGATAACTTACTGCTTTATTCAAAGGCATCACCAGCTCCTGTGTATTTAAAATTCAAGGAATCCACTTCTAGTCCATCCTACAAGCACTGAAGACACAAACATTTTTCATTGTAATGCTATTTATTTTTAGTTCATGCTGCAGTGGACATAGGTTTGATGATTTTTATTCTTATTACAAACAATAATGCTGCATCACCCACATCAAAATGACAGGACTTCTTATTTTATTACTTACAATAATTCATGACAGTAGAACACAAGCAAAATTCTACCTTATGGTAAATGGTGAACTGAAAATAGCATTATCAGCATTTTGCACTGGCCAAAATAATTAATATAAAATGTTATTACTGTCACAATAAATGGCATTAATATCAAATAAAAACAAAACATCAATCATTAGGTCTTACATGTGTTGTATGTAATTCTCGTAGTACGTTGCAACATAGCAAAAGTGCTATTTACAGGAAGACCACATTAACTTTTTATATTATGTGTATATTATGGGTATATTTTGTGTAATTTACGAATGTTTCTGTTCCACAGTTGACTGAGTTATCCCCTTTTGAGTGGTCCTGGTAGACATTTAGTAAGGCACTGATCATTTTATATGAGAACAACAAACCATGACAACGAGCTAATACAATGGTGAGATTGAAATCCTTTACTGTAAAATGCTTTTATGAGTGAACTGTCCAGCTTAAGAGAGCATTTCAGCCAAAACCACCAATAAATAACAATAAGCAAGCAAAGGCCAAGTACCGTTATTCATACAGGATCATTGCCGGCTGCCTCCCACTCATAACCATTCATTACTGGGTGAAAAATCTTTTCAAGTTATAAATCACACACATTGTTCTAAAACTCAAAGGCAGTTTCAGATCAAATGCAAGAAAGCAAAGTTGAACAAAGACCATATGGACTGTGCTAGTAGGCACTTGATGGAACCTTTTTAAATCCACATAGGCAAAAACTGTAGTACATCTCCAAACACAACAGTCCAGATACAACACATGTCGCTCTAAAATGTTGTGTTTAAGTGCTAAAAAAAGTTGTGCTTTTCAAGAGGATAAATTAAACAAAAATGTGTGCGTTTTCCTATCTAAAGCAGCCACAAGTTTAATTTCAGTATTAGACTAATTGCATTTAGGTACCACTTTGATCTAAAGACATCAAGAGCATCTTACCTCACCTTAAACATGATGTTTATTTTTTGCATTTATCTGAAATACCATCACATGATGATGGAAATCAGCCCATGACCTGCCTCTAAAATTTTCTTCTTCACAGTTTGGACTTGGCCTGGAAGAAGCTCATGATAGCCTGCATGCACTCATCGGACACCCAGCGCTCTTTCAGCCTCTCCACTTCGGTCACATTCACAGCATGGAGTTTGTCCTTGTCTACCCCTCGGATGAGCTGCTTGGACAGAGCTAGAGACTGAGGGAGCAGAAAAGAAAGAGGGAACATAATTAGTAATGTAATAAAACTCAGGCACTGCTTGCAGAAAGTGAGTGAGAGTCAACAGCCCTTACTTATCAAAATCACAATAAAAACAAAGTTCAGATTCGACTGCACTGAATGATGTACGAACTGCTCCACATCTGATTCATGGTGGGTCGTATGATGTTGGAACAAGCGATTATCCGAGCATGTTATTTGAGAAAACGAGAGCCTGCACAGTAGTATCTTATTTACTCATCATTGTAAAGGACATGCCCAAATTTGCCCTCCTGTACAGGTAATTTACCTGAACAAACCCTAAAACATGCAGACTTTGATAGGGGACAATTGAAAGAAAAGCATTTAACATGAGCCAGTGGTTGTCCTCATAGATGGAGTTGGGTTGGAGCAGAGACTACACGGCTCCCCCTACTGGATAGAACATACACAGCTTATAGTGTTTAAATTATAGTTGAAAAAAAGCATGAAATGAACAAAATGTATTAGCTTTGTTCAAGTTGTTTGAATGATACGACTGCGTATACACACACACACACACACACACACACACACACACACACACAGACACATGCGGAAAAATAAATAATAATAAATAAACCACAGCAAGATTGTAACAACTTTTTTTGACAGAAGCATTTCATAAAGTGTTGTCATCAAAATAGATTAACTACAGGCTGAATCTATGAATGCATAAATAATACAAAGATACTTACAGCACAAGTCAATCTCTTTGTTTCCACTTACAGTTAATGTGCACTTACATTTGGGGGCAGTTTGGCATAGGCCTTAAGTCTGGTCCAGACCTCTGACTGAAAGCTGCTGTCAGGAAAGACTTCAGTCACTAGTCCCAGTTCATACGCCTTTGTGGCGGTCAGCTTCTTATTGAACAGCAGCACTTCACTGGCCTGACAACAAAAACACAATGCAGAGAGTGCTGTTGCATAAGCTATGAATCCTCAGAAACAGGCTATGTTTACTTAAATGAATAGAATAATAACACTATCAGTGTGTTAGTGTTGACAGCCAGAATGAGGTCATGATTGCTAAGAACATTAGAACAATATAAACATAAATAAGACACTTTGGTCATATTGTCCTTTTCATGTGCACAAGAGTGTGTGTATGTGTGAATATACCTTTGCAGGACCCATAATTCTAGGGAAGGTGTAGGAGGAACAGCCCTCAGGACTCTGTCCCAGCTGGCTGAAGGGGGTGTGAAATGTTGCCTAAGGTTACACCACAAAGCAAAGAATCAAACTACAGCACAGTAAAGCACTTAACTGCTAATGTGTTTAAAGGGGAAATTCGACCAATTTTAAAAATGTGTACATCTCAACAACTGAATTATGCAAACAAAGTCATAAAGAATGGTTTGATGCAAAATGGAGCATTTTAGAGAAAATTATCAACTGATATTTCTTTACAGTAGTGTTAAGAGGCACCAGGGGTCATAACACTTGCAATATAAATATAGCCATTTTATTTGCCATCCAAAATATCAAGTGCACCTACACGTCTTGTGATTTTTTATATGTAAAGCTGAGATGGAAAATTAGTGGTGAAAAAAAAAATTTAAAGGATTTTCTTTGGATATAATAATGAGGTATACTGCTTTTTTAAAATGTACATTTTAGGCCAAAACCTATTCTCAAAAAACAACGTGTCAAGCATCAGACAGCGTATTCATTTCGTATATAAATGTCTGTGTGGGAGCTTTGAGAGGCATTAAACTCTTCAGACGTCTGGTTCCTATCACCACTTATGAAAAATTCTGATACATTAAGTTTCTCTAGAAATGGAGTACTTCACATTAAACTGCTCTGAATGACTTTGCTTACATCTTAACCATTTAACTATGGAAAAAAAAATGGTGTATTTCCCCTTTTACACTGGGTAACAAGCAACAATCAGTTAGAATAATCCTATTTACATAAAGTTAACTGCCCTTCTACTAGCCTTCAATCGTGAACAGTAAGAATAGCTCAGTTGGCCGTAGTAATGGTTAAGAAATAGAGGAGCCACCACAAAATACTGTACATACGGTATGACAATATTTTACATTTTTACATATTAGAGTACAGTCTAATTAGATGTTGAAGTGGTTTCACAGTAGATGTGTGAGAGTAGTGATGAGTTTGGCAGCTTACCCTTTCTGTGGCATAGACAACATCAAAAAGTCCAAGTAGAGTGACAGAGATGCCCACAGCTGGCCCGTTTACAACAGCGATCAGAGGTTTCGGGAAGTCAATGTATGATTTCACATACCTCCTGCAAATATATAATATAACATATGATCACCGTGGCATTTACACAAAACTAGAAATAAGTAAGAAAGACTTTACAAAAACTTTACAGGAGTAAATCCCCAGCATCCTTGGCCATCTTGTCAACACCACCCTCTGGGATTTTAGTGAAGTTGTTCAGGTCATTGCCACTGCAGTAGTAGTCACCACTGCCTGTGAAGAGATTATGAAAATAAGTGACTGAAATGTATATATGATTATATATGAGTGAATAATTTAACATGGTTCACATTAATGTTACACCATCTTTCCGTACCTGTGAAGACTGTAATGACAGAGTTGTCTTTTCCAGCAAGATCCAGAGCGTCTATCAGTTCACTATACATCTAGAAATTGGTTACAAAAAAAAAAACTACACTTTAATTAGTAAAAACACAATTGTTCTAGAATAAATAAAACATTTTAATATTATACAATGATGCAACATGAGTAGTTTAACATTAAGTAACGGACCTCTGAAGTTGTGCATGACGGCCTTATCAGGAACTCTAAGTCTAAGCTGGTTTTCTCTATGAGAAAAATGAATGGCATTTTCAAATATCGCTGCCCTGTAGTTAACAGAATCTTTCCAAACACAATACGTTTTGTCCTATGTACAAATGATGGCACCAGAATGCACTGTGGGAAAAAGACTGATAAAGGGAGTGTGATGACCTTGGCAATGTCCGGCCATACACGTGTCCACCATGTTGACACGTGCCACCTACTTAAACATCGCTGTGGACCAGGTGCACCTCTTCATGACAGTGGTATTCCCTGATGGCAGTGCCCTCTTTTAGCACACTACACATATTATTCAGGAATGGTCTTAGGGACAAGAGTTCAATGTGTAGTCCTGGCCTCCAAATTTTCCAGATCTCAATCAGATCGAGCATCAGTAGAATGTGCTGGAACAAGAAGTCCGATCCATAGCAAGTCCAAACCTTGCAACTTACAGGACTTAAATTATTTGCTCCAAATGCCTTGGTGCCAGATACCACAGCGCACCATCAGAAGACTTGTAGGGTCCATGACTTGGTGGGTTGTATTTGGTTTGGAGGGCACGCACAGGACCAACAGCATTTTAGGCAGGTGGTCATAATCTGTGTTTAACACCAACAAAAACTCAGCTAAAAACTCAAATACCACCTCTGGTGAGGCTGCTAGTCAATTCAGAGAGCAGCAATGTTGCTTGCATGAGGCAATATTCATTTTCCACCTCCTTAATGACCTCATAACACAGCCAGCGACATTTGGAGGAAATATATAAATATGGCAAAATAGAGCAGGTTTACAACATTTTTGTTTACCACAAGGTGTGAGAGCAGCAATTTTTGAAAATGCAATTAATTGTTCTTATTGAGAAACCTTGAAAAAACTGCAGTGCTGAATTTGACGCTTATGGCTGACTTGGAGTAGTGAATTGCAGCTCTGGACAGATGTAGCTGGACTGCATACTACACCTCCACAGTGATGGCATTTTTCTTCTGTGGTCGGTTGAGTCGAATGGTAGTGATGCCATCTTCTGTGGTGACTATCAGTGTTTCAAAAGCCTTTGCACCTCCTGTGGGTGGCGCAGCAACAGCAGGGCCTTCAGCAGCCAGCAGGGACGAGATGAGGTCAACATACTGCTGCCGGGCGTCCTCCTGATGGAACCAAGGAGAGGATAAGCACTGACCAATCAAGTAAGTATAAATGCATTTATAAAACTGAGATTTCTGGTTAAGTCTCTGTAAAATACTCAACTAACACAAACACACTGCACACAGTGACATTACCATGTGCCATGTCTAATAACACCCTTTAATAATGGTAACATGCATACATTATTTTAACAGGGTTTCTGCAAATCTGCAATGCCTACAGAGTATACATCCAATTTTACTAACAGCCAGGTAATGCAGCCAGTCAAGATGTCTAGGAACATCTGGACACTACAGCATGAAAATAAGTTTAATATTAATCAGGCCAAAACTGTATAGAAATGAATAATATTTTTCATTTGTACTGAAAAGTTCCTCTTTTGGAACTATGAACTTCTCATAAAGGCGATGTGTATATTGTTTTATCAGCTCACCTGTGACACAGATCCCAAAGACTTCCAGGCATCCCACTTCGCTTTATTCACAAAGTCCAGCATTCCTGGTTTAGGGGTGTTACAGGGCCCCTGTGTGGCCTGCTCATGTACAAGAGAACAAGCAAACGGGTAAGGGAACAAGGCATAAACAAGTAAAGGCGGTTTCGCTTTTTATCAAAATGTTCTTTTGTTGCTGTTACTATTATTTATGTTCTTCCTCCACTAGATAAAAATGACAACAGGACAGATGCATAACTACCATTCAAATTTGACATTATAATCTAAACTCGACAGCATTTTGGTAATGTCTAGAATTACTCACAGTTCAGTTCAATACAATGTATTTTAGTTTTATTCTTTTTAAAAAGTCATATTTGTTTTATATTATCTTGGAGTTTGAATTTTATTAACTTTATTTAGAATTAATAATTAGTTAGTTCATTAATTAGTAATTAATTAGTATTTGTTTATCAATATTCTATACCACTGATCTTCTGTGTTATTATTTTACTCTACATTTTTTAGATTATTTTGCCTAATTTGTCTGTAAAGCACCTTGAGATTTTGAGAGTCAAAATGAAAGGTGATATATAAATCAAGATTCTTTTAACAATGTATCTCCAGCAAATAGAGATTCTTTACATCATATATACATATGTGTGTGTGTGTGTATATATATATATATATATATATATATATATATATATATATATATATATATATATATATATATATATATATATATATGTGTGTGTGTGTGTGTGTGTGTGTGTGTGTGTGTGTCAGCAATAAAAACATTTATTGTTTGATACAGTCATCTCACCTGTTTAAAGAGGGCATAGATCTTGAGTTTGACCTCATTGCCTGGGTCCTTCTTCAGTGTACCCAGTTGATCCTTGGCACGATTAAAGTCCTCCACTGATGCCCCCATCGATGCTCCAGTGGTGTGCAGCTGAACGCTAGGGATCCTAAAAATGACAAGCTCTTTAAACATTTACAGATTCTATAATAAGAAAATCTGAAAACAGACATAAACACGTCTTACATAATGAGAAGCCTGACATACAAAAATACTGTCCGCATCCAAATGTTAGTTTGCTGTAGGTCAACCACCGAAAATCAACTACATCCAGTAGGTCAATGCAAACTATTGGCGTTTCAAGAGTTCTTTAGTAAATGCAATGATTCTACATAGAATCATGAACACTTAAGGAACCATTTGCATGCTTAAATGGTTCTTCGCATGGTGAAATGGTTCTTCAGATATGAATGTCGAATGCTGGGGTGTATGGTTCTACACAGAACCTTTCTGAAAATGGTTCAATACAGCACCAAAAAGGGTTTTGCTAATATTACAATGTTAAGCTTGCAACAAAAGAAAAAAAACCTTTTTTGGTGATACATATATACATATATACACACACACACATACATACATACACACATACATATACATACATACATACATACATACATATACATACATACATACATACATATATATATACATATATATATATATATATATATATACACACATATACGCATATATACACATATATACACACACACACATATATATATATATGTCAACATATTTAATATAACATACTGTTGCTATTAGAACAGTGCTGTGCATTCAATTTGACAAGTGTGATTATCAGAATAACAAAGCTACAAAGAAAAGACTGAAGGTAACTGAAAGTGGGGTAGAGGTCAAGGCTGCTAGCTGTTAGCTTTCAAAGCCACATCTGACAGCAGTGAGCTAAGCTAACCAACTAACCTAGATGAATGTCAGGCTGAAGAAGAGGAGGCATACTAAAGGTGTGAGTCATTTAATGGCCATTACGCGGTTAGGTTTAGCTTCTTTTCTCTCCCTCAATCACGGGAACTGTTAACGTTAATGTTAATAGATAAAGTTACTGAATAATTATTATGGCAGGACTACAATGTTGGACGTTAGCTGACCAGACTAACTGTCCGTTTTTGCTTTTCAGTTAACGTCAGCTACGAAACTGAAGTCAGCTTCTTATTCGATTGTTCCCGTTCCACCTTAAATGAGGCGCCAGACTGTAACTGCTGCACAATTTAAGGTGGAACGGGAAAATTCGAACAAGACGCTGGCGAATAGGAAGCCGGCTCCAGCCTCATTCGTTAGCTCAGCGTTTATCAACCCCTCTGATGGGGGAATACTTATAAATGCACTGCCTATTTTTGTGAAATCTTCGTTTTATCCCCATGAAGTTCTCCAGTCAGAGTCCGTTGTATTTAGCCGTTAGCCGACTCTGCCGTTAATAAGTTCAACAGTTCAGTAGCGAAGCAGCAGCAAGCTAACAATTCAGCCCTGCTAAGGTTCACTGTTCGCCCCGACTCCCCCTAAAACTGCAGCGCAGGTCAGTCGGACCCGAGATTTTCCCTTATAAACGCGTACACTTACCTGGCAAACCTGAGAACTCGCCACGGTGAAAGAAGCTTTATAGCGCCTGAAGCCATAAGTACACCGTACAAAGATCAGCCGAGCGCTCCGCTCACCTTCCTGCCAAACCGCTGAATGAATACACGCACAGCCTTCATCCTCCAATCAGAACGCCGCTTTGGCTGTCAGTCAAATTAAGCCCGCCTACTTTTTTTCATCCGCCAATCAAAATGCAGATTTTTTTTCCTCATATTTGTGCAATTTGCCTCTTGTGTTGACACGCTGGGAGAAATTATAAGAGGTTTTCTTTTATTTTTTTCTGTTGTAAAGTCAACAGAAGCGAATTAACCCCCAGAAACCCGCTGTTGCGCAACTGTAATAGTTGTTTAAATCACTCTATGCCTACTTAATAAACTTTACTGGAAGGGGACCTCCACTGAGTTTTCAAAAATTCATAATTAAATGGGTGAGATGTAAACAAAGTCATTCAGAGTGGTTTGGTATGAAAGGTTCCGCTGCAGAGAACCTTGTGAGTTTGATGCCTCTGAAGTCCCCCTCACAGAAAGTTATCACATGAAACGGTTAGATAAATGCTGCCTGATGTCTGAGACATTGTTGTATGATACTTTCGTGATAAAGTGTGCATAAAATGTATTTTAATCCTTTTATTTTAATCCATTCAGGGCGGAGGGGTATATGCAGAGCACCCTTAGGCCAAATAGTCCTCAAATAAAACTTATTTTTCAGATTTATCATTATTTTATCATGATCAACATTACATGTAAAACTCAGAAGACCCGTATAGGTTTGCTGGTGGTTTTGGATAGTAAATAAAATGGTGTTTTTGGTGCAGACATGGCAACCCCTGGTTCCTATCACAATCACTGGAGATCTGAGTCTGTAAGTTTCTGTACAATGAACCATTTCACATCAAACCACTCTGAATGACTGAATTATTCAGACATTTTGAAAAAATGGTGTATTTCCCATTTTATGTCACTAAAATTAAATCTCCCAACACTCTGAACTGTATCACTTGTGGTGAGAAACAAATGCTGAATTTGACAGTAATAATACGTGTTATAGTGTGACACTGGCATTGGGGTGCTGTGGTCAGAACTGTACAGTAGTTTGAACTCAAGTTAATGTACCCAGAGTCACACCTGGACTCCTTATCGTACCTTCACAGTGATGGAGTTTTTCTTCTGTGGTCTGTTGAGTCGGATGGTAGTGATGCCATCATCTGTGATGACAATCAGGTCAATAAACTGCTGCCTCTCCTCTTCCTGAGAAGAGCAAAGAGGTAAATAAAAACAATACCATGTCATTGATGATTCTTCATTTACATAATATGCAGGGGTATCTCAGCCTGCAGAGGTTAACTGCACTCTAAAGCACATGATCCAGCTCATCAAAACCTCCATAAACATCTGAATACCAGTAGTAGGTGTGTTAGACTATGGTTGGCTTTTCCACACAAGCAGGCCTGAAGACGTCCACTTTATAGCCTGTTGTTCGTCACTGTGTTAGGCTACTGTGTGTTACATTTTTGCATTTAAGATTGTGAAATGGGCAGTGTGACAATATTTAGCATTTTCTGAGCTTATTGCTGATATCTTCAGTACTTAAAAGTACAAGCCAACCATATGTTTCATTACAAAGACAGCATAATCAGTCCTGTTTAACCCTCTGGGTTCTAATAAAGGCATTTTTTGAATTTTGCATATCTGTCTAAATTCGCCTTTAAAGTCACTAGTGTATAACATGATACCCGTGTGTTTCCTATCAAAATGCTCCATTACCTTCATTGCTAAATCTGATGTGGACTAAATGAATAATGAAGGGTTTCTGACGTGACAGGTCAGTCCTGAGTTATTTCCTGAGTGTCTCTTGGCCAGTTTCACACAAAATGTAGACGGACACATAAATCCACCAGGTACATGCAGTGAGAGGTGGATGATATTTATCCCAATGCCTCTTCATTGCCTCATAACTCCAAATGTGAGACGTGTACAAACTTGCTGTAAGATGGAATCAAAAGGGCGAATCTGAAGGTTCAGGAAATGTTTGAAACATATTTGAATCATATTTTTGTGCTCACAGAAACATTGAATTTGATGCATGGGCGAGTTCGTAGACTCCAGAGGCTTAACTGGGTTTAGTGCACTGTAGTGTGTGAAATCAATAATAAAATCATTGTATTTATAGTTTTGTTAAAGTACTTAAAAAATTTGGCACTACTTATGAAATCTCAGATAAATTAAACATTGTATTGCATGTTGTGTATTGTGAAAATGTCTTAAGGTATTGTGATTCATTTTGGCCATATCACACGCCCCTGTTGCTTAGGACAGAATTCATACTTACTGTAGATAAATACTCTATTGCTAGACTATGAGTACACAGCCCTTTTGGCAGCAAAAAAAGCATTCTGCTGGTACCAAAAGGCACAAAATGATGTTCTAGTGGCAGCTAACCTGTGACACAGACCACCAGACGTCCTACTTCACTTTATTCACCAGCATTCCTGGTTTAGAAGTGTTACAGAGTCCCTGTTTGGCCTGCTCACAAAAAAAGCAGTCAGGATGAGAAAATCAGGTGAAAAGAGATTCAATTCAAAGCAAAAAAAAGAAAGTTAAAGTTGAAGTGATAGCCCAGTGAAAAAGCTTTTCAAACTGACTTACTCATGCTTTTCTGACCCTGCATGCTATGAAGGTATCATAGCATACAGGGTTTATCAAGGTTTTTCTTCAGTGTGCCATGTTGATCCTTGGCAAGATTAAAGTTGACCACTGACACCCCATCGATGCTCCAGTGATGTACAAATGTTCACAGATTCTATACAAATGCATAATATACATTATGTGTACATAATGTATACATAATACATTATGAATACTTTTATAAAGTGTCAAATGGATTTCATAGTGCACAGTACTCTATTCTTGTTTGTGAAAAATTAAACAAGCATCTTAATTTTCATCCTACTGCTCATTTCACCAGCACAACGGAAACTGACTCTACAGATATTTTTACTAATATAATCAAATTAAATGAGTTATCCATAAAATATAATTAAATGTATTTAAAAATGTTTTTACAACATTCTAGCTGAACTGAGAGACCTCCCAAACAAGTTGAAACCGAAATTTAATTTTCATTTAAAGCCTATAAAGACTGGGCATAATGCTTCATTAGATCGTACATACTTAATTGACAAACCAAAGGTTTATGTTTTAGTACGTTACAGCATATGCCCAAAGCTCTGAGACAGAAAACATACTAGAAAATTAAATAAATGCTCGATCCTGCTGAGACCGTATTCTGCCAGTAGATGGCACTGATGAGTCAGCACAAAAAATATAACTGGTTAGATCATGTAATGGTTTTGACAGTGAATTGAGTAATAACCTCTACACAGTTCTGTTTTAAAACCATTTAAATGATGCATTGGTCATAGACACTGTATAAATTATCATTTATAATCACTGTATAATGCCATATGTACACTGTGTGCTATGCCTGTGTATACTATGTAACCTATAATATGCCTGAACTTGTTATTCATGTTATTTTTATTTTTTTTAAAGATACATTGAATCATATTTAACAAAACGTTGATAAGAGCTATAGGATTTGCACCATCTCAGCTAGGGTGAATAATTATCGTTCAGTCAGACTTAGGACCATCAGACAGGACTATGATGTTCTAATTTTCAGATAAATCAAATCAAATCAAATCAGATTTATTGTCACATCACAAGAGTACAGGGACACAGGTGAGTGAAAAACTTGAGTGCGAGTTCCACAAATTATGCAGAGAACAGTATTTACACATAGATAAACAAAACTATAGATAGGATAGAAGAATAGATAAAACCAATTTAACTAAAATATATACATATAATCTTACACAATAACTTAAAAATAATAATATTGCACCGAGACATATAATATTGCACTGGGAATGTAGAGTGAGTGTAATCAACTATATACTATATATAGTAATGGATATTACAATGCTATGTAGATGTGCAAGTAATCACACTAGGTGTGGAGGTAGAAGATGGTACAGTAGGTGGCAGAGTATTTAGTAAAGTGCAAGGTACAGGAAGTTAAGTGGAAGCGCAGGGGGAGAGTATTGCGAGATAAGTTCCTATGTACAGACCACAGTATAAGCCTTATTCTTCAGGATAAGGTGAGATTTTAGTGGTCCAACGTGTTTTAACCCTTTATGCACTACAGTACACAGGCATATGAAGACAAATGGCTTTATTCTACAATGGAACATGGTACATTTAAGGGTAATATGACCTGTACGTCAACTAAATGGTTTTTAAACAGGGCAGAATAAAAAAAAAACATATTTTCCAATTTGTCAAAATCACGACAGAATCACAACAAAATCTAATCAGTTTCGAATATTTTTGTGCAAGTGGTGAGAGACATCAACTCAGTCCTGTTTACAATAATGACACATTTTAATAATATTAACTGACTCATCAGTGCCATCCACAGGTGGAATGTGGTCTCTGCAGCAGCATTTAAGGTGGAACAGCTAAGTCCAATGAGAAGCCAATGCAGCCTCGTAAAAGCACAGCCCACACATAGGCAGTAACTCATATCGCCAGAACTTATTAACCGCAGAGAGGATTTTATTAATGCCATTAGTAGCTTCTTTTCTCTTCTATGAAGAAAATGTGTTTATCTTTGTTTGTTTTTTTTCTTGTTCTCATGCCCACTCACCGTGCATTTTATTAGGAACACCACCTTGTTTCTACACTAACTGTCCATTTTATCAGCTCCATTTACTATACAGATGCACTTTGTAGTTCTACAATTACAGACTGTAGTCCATCTGTTTCTCTGAATACTTTGTTCGCCCTGTGGTGATGGTGTGCTAGTGTGTGTTGTGCTGGTACGAGTGGATCAGACACAGCAGTGCTGCTGGAGTTTTTAAACACTGTGTCCACTCACTGTCCACTCTATTAGACACTCCTAACTTGTTGGTCCACCTTGTAGATGTAAAGTCAGAGACGATAGCTCTTCTCCTGCTGCACTGTTTGTGTTGATCATCCTCTAGTCCTTCATCAGTGGTCACAGGACGCTGCCCACAGGACGCTGTTGGCTGGATATTTTTGGTTGGTGGGCTATTCTCAGTCCAGCAGTGACACTAAGGTGTTTAAAACTCCAGCAGCACTGCTGTGTCTGATCCACTCATACCAGCACAACACACACTAACATGCTACCACCATGTCAGTGTCACTGCAGTGCTGAGAATGATCCACCACCCAAATAGTACCTGCTCTGTGGTGGTCCTGTGGATGTCCTGCACACTGAAGAACAGGGTGAAAGCGGGGGCTAACAAAGTATGCAGAGAAACAGATGGACTACAGTCTGTAATTATAGAACCTATATGGTACGTTGAGCTGATAAAATGAACCATTACACTCATTGTCCATTTTAACAGCTCCACTTACCATCTGTTTCTAGATATAAGGAGGTGCTCCTAATAAAATGCTCAGTGAGTGTAAACTACATGAAAAAGAAAATAGCCTAACAGGGTTATTATGTATAGAACCTTAAAGGTGCAGACACTGCTACCTTCCTTTTATAACGTATTCATATTCGGTATGTTAGCCTACAGTTTACTACATAACAATATACTCAATTTACAAGTAATCAGATGACACAGTATGTTGTCTCCATGTTCTAAAGGCTGACCTCAAGACCTAAATGCATTATGTTGTCTTCTTATGTCCTCAGCTCAGTTCGTTGGAAAGGATTTGGATTTAGGTTTGAACTAAACTCTGCAGGAAAGCAGATCTCTAGGAAAATAGTTGGTGACCACTGATCTAGACTGGCGAACGACTCGAGGGCATAATGGGTGCTGTGTGCTGACCTACTGAATGACAGTATTTTTTTCTTACTAGCAAAGCTGTAGGAGCACTACAGCAGGGGTCTTCAGCTCCAGTCCTGGAGGCCCATTGTCCAGCACAGTTTGGTTTATCCTATTAAAAAACACTTACTAAACCTGGCTATTCACAGATGAGTTGAATCAGATGTAATTGAGCAAGGAAATCGCCAAACTGTGCCGGACACCGGTCCTCCAGGACCTGAGTTGGAGACCTCTGCTCTACAGTATACAAGAACTGAACTTGTATTATACCTTTGTTTCGGATATTATGGTGCTGATTTACACTTGATAACACATGAAACAGACATGTAAATAAGCTAATTAGGGTAAAGCTGCACCAAATATCTTACAGATGGCTGTAGTGAAGCAAAAACTGGTCAAAGACCAACAGGCTTCAGTCTTTAGAGTCAGTTTACACATACAGGTACAGGTAGGAAAATCATTATATGTCACTTCATTCATTAATTTATTCATTCATTCATTTAATTATTTATTTGATGTACAACATCCTCAGCCTGCTTTTCATATAGGTAGTAGATTAATAATTTTAGACAGCTTCCATTAGAACGTATGTTATAAATCACCGATAGTTACTTATCACACAACACATTTGAGATGGAGCAGGGGGAGGATATATGGCAAAACTGTAACATCATAGTAATTCAGTACTTTTTCACAATACAGGACATACATAACAATATTTAGTTTTTCTGAAGTTTGAGTTTAGAAAAAAAGAACATATTGTGCTTGCTTTAGAAAAAAAATAAAAACTTTCAATACAATGATTTTTATTTAGCATTTCACACACTGTAATGCACTAAATCTGATTAAATAAGACAATTTTGCTTTCTTTGTAATGAAATATGTAGTTGGTCAGTGTTCTTTAAGTACTGACTACCTACCAACTATGCATAGAAAGGCATATTGTGATGTAATTTATCATGATAACGATAAATATTGTCATATCATCCACCCATAAGATTGGCTAACATAAAAATAAAGCAGTACAGTTTCCACAGTTGTAAGGAGGCTTTACTATATAAAAGTAACAATTAAGCACATTCAGTATTAGCCAAATTCAAGACCTTTCCATGTTAAGGAAAACCTTAACTATTTTTTGTTTGAGCTCACCACATTCACAAAAAAATTCCTTGGTGTTTAAACCTTTTCTTATGCTTGGGCTCTTTTGGCCAGTTGTCCAGCACTAGCAACTGCCAGATGAGCCCGTTCTCACGTGCATTACTCTAATACTTCATTCTAGGGCGTGCATACCAGGAACAAAAGCTCAGAGACAAAAAGCCACTTAAATGTCTGAATCCCTCATGAATAGAACAAAATATAAACAAAAATGTATTAGCTAAAACTTAAGCTACTAACAAAGAGCTGGTTTGTGCTCAGAACATCTGAAATGATGGTTTGGATCACAAACAAAATATAGATTTTCAAAATGTGATATAAATATGGATCACTGTATCTAGCATTTGCTGCAAAAGGACCACATAAATTAAGGCTTAATCTTCTATGGTCATGCATTTAAAGCCAAACATAACATTTATGGTCAGTTATTATTATTATCTAAGATAAGAAGGAAACCACCGACCTTACTACCCATTATGAAACTGACCATTAGAGAAGCTTCAGCCTGGGCATTCATACATGTTTTGTGTTTTTATCATATATGCAGCCAGTCAAGCATAGAAGAATTTATCCCAGGCCTCAAGCTCAAAATGGCTTGAAACTATCCTCTTTCGTCAATGGGCAGTATTAGCTTAATAATGAGGGGATCAGTGCGCTCTTAGTAATCGCATATAAAACCCCCAGCAGTAAACAGTCTCAAAGCCACCACTCCTTCTGAGATATCAGTTTTTACCAGTTATGTTGACAAATTTTCCTGCGGTTCTATCAAGTATGGAGTACGCTAAAACTCTGGTTCCAACACCTATAAAGAGGTAAGATCTATTTGCACTCTTGGTTGAATATTGATTGGGTTACAAGCTGCATAAATGTAGTCTAGACTGAGTCATTGCATAATTTGTACACAACATGTTATCAGACTCTGAACCTTTCTAGCTGCTTAGGCTTAGTTCTTATCATTTGGTTGATTTAAATGGTACAGCATGATATCCTAATGCATCGCACGTCTGTGGAGCTCCCGTAGGAGCATTATAGAAGTTTGTTTGGTTTGCACAGACTGCATTGGTGGCCGATATGACAAAAAAACATGGAAAGATACAAGGTGTGCATCACTATGCTTAGTTTTTCTGAGGTTTGATAATGAGGAACAAGCAAAAAGGCACCAGTGGTGCCACATTTCAATAAATACAATCAAAAACTATGATTATTTTGAATTGTATTCTACTTTTCACATACTATGCTGCACTAAATCCAGTAAAGCAAGACTTATTATGCTCTCTTTATGGAGAGATATCCACAATATGCTCAGAAATGTATACTGGACATTGTTTAGTGCGATAATAATAAATATTATCATATTTCTCCTAACATTATCCAATGGCTTTAATGTCTGGTAATGTCTAAAAACTTGTACTTGCTGTAGTATGAGTGAATCGCATCTGCTGCAATATTTCACACTATAGTAGCACATTTTAAGCATATGGATCAGTTCACTGAAAGCTTTTCGTGCGGTCTTGCTGTAGGTCGGTGTCCACCGTGCACTCAGCGATAGCTCAGCGCATGCTGCCCCCTGCACAGCCCCGGCCCTACAGAGTCTGCACCCAGAGCCGCCTCAGGACCAACGTTTTGGTGGCCACTTCTCTAAACGACCTGCTGGAAAAGGTTAGGATAAGTGCAGGTCAGATAGAGTTGGGGTGTCCAAATTCAGCGGCTGATGATTCCCACACTGTTCTGTTCCAGCTCCCAATGCATACAGCCAGGCAAAGAGTGTATTGAGTGCTGTAATTAAACAAACATTTGGGCTTGTTGGAAGTGTATAAGCGTTGGATTTGGACACCCTGATTAGAGGACTGGGTGGGCTACCTCTGGCATTGATTTTCTAAGTGTACTGTATGTGTGCATGTTTTTAAAGGCATGAGTATGTCTCTCAGGTGTCTGACACCCTTTCTAGATGCAATTTCCAGTCAAATTGTCCTTTAAATACAAATTATTGTAACATATGAGATTTTGAAGCAGTATGATCTAAGTGCAGATCTAATGAGATGAACAAACACAGTAGCAGGCACCCAAAATCAGAACACAGTTTGAAATAAACCTTGAGAACAGAAATGCCAACCTCTTTAAAAAGATCCAGAGATTCAAAGATTTTTAAAAGGTTCATTCAATAGTTTTTTGGTGAAGGCAGTGGTTCTATTTAGAACCGTGAGTCCTATGTAGAACCATTTCATGCCTAAATGATTCTTTGCACGGTCAGACGGTACTTCAGATTGATGGAAAATGTGTTGTAAATGTGTTGAAAATGTAACCACCAAAGTTCAGTCTTAGAAGTTGCTGCATTTTCAAAAATGTCTGATTTTCACTTATTTTTAATTGCCCCTCCCTTTTCTTATGTAGGATTATCTTATATCTGATCTCCTTAGAAATATCTCCTGAAAATAATAACTTAATGAATAATACATAGTGGCCATTTTGACTGCAAATTGAATAAAAGAAGCGTGGTCTCTGACTCCTGCACAGTACTGTACTTATATCCTCCACCACAAGTTCTCCTAAAAATGAACTGCTTGAATTGACTTAATCATTTCCACGTAAATTATAAGTATTAATGTAGAATCATTCACGTGAGAACAATACCATATTTCTGTCATGGATCAATTCTTCCTCTGGTTTAAGCACTTTAAGACCATTCAGAGATTCATTCTTTTAGTCAAACAAAGTTTAAAATCTTCGAGTGATAACCTGAGAGAGTGTACCTCTCTGAATTATGTACTTTTGTACTTCTCTCAGGCTGCCCGTTCGTTTCTGCTGCCCTGTCGTTTCCTGACGCTGGTGCTGGAGGAGGACGGCACAGTGGTGGACTCGGAGACCTTCTTTCATTCCCTCCCCGCTAACTCTCTCTTCATGGTGCTGGATAAAGGCGAGGAGTGGACCCACAACCCACCGGTAGTGCTCTTAACACCCCTCTCCATTAAAGAAATAGTTCACTGAAAAATCTAATTTAACCTGTTTTCCCTTCACCACAATGTAGTCAATCAGCCACGACATGTTTCTTTAGTTCTGCAGTGGAGCTATGAGGCCAGTGTAATACAAGTCTATGTCACCGGAAAAGATTTGTGAAAACATAGACATCCAGTAACTACTTCAGCTTGTAGCATCAGAGCAAAACTACAAAAAGCAAACTTCAGACATCTAACAAATCGTGCCTACATTTGGGGTAAGAGGAGATGTGTGTAAATCTGGGTTTTTGATCTCATTTCTTATACTGATACAGATGACTCTGTTATTGCGGAGGAGAGCTGCGATTATTTGTACACTGAAAAAAGTAATGCATTGAATTTATTTAATTTAAATATGTACATTATTTCCACACGCAGAATATATATTATGTTCACACTTACAGTTGTATCCAAATGTTTGGGCGCCCCAGGTCAAATGACATGGATTGTTAATTTTAATAAAAGTGAAAATAAGTGAACACATCCTCTACAGAGAACACACTTCTGTACATTTTAACACACAGTCACTGTTTGTGTGTTGAATTTAACATATTAGAAAAAAATATATATAAAATATGGCCTGTGCAATAGTTATGGATTTTATATTTTATATTTGAATGCATTTTACATTTAATCTTTTTAAATTGATTTTATATTGTTTTATTATTTTAGTATGTTAAACTATGTAAAAATGCCATATTTAAGTCTGTTCTGTGTACAACTTTTAACTTAGAAAATCAACAAAACATGTGATTTGACCAACCATGAGTATTGAAACTTTTGCATAAAACTGTATTGTCAAAGTAAAATGAAAGAGTATTATAAATAATTTATAATATTATTCATGTGGAAATTATCTACACATTTAAATCAAGTAAATTCATTGGATCACTTTTTTCAGTGTATGATGTTCAGCCTGGGACACAGCACCCTTTTCCCTCATGAAACCAGCTTATTTATTTCTGAGTCATGGTGCTTATTCCACCATTACAAAACAGTTTCAAATGAAACAATCACCAGATCTTCCCTCCATGTGTCATAATAGAACAGATGGCATGAATTCCCATAACATAATGAGTTCCCCTTTATCAGGAATCTCTGACGAGGCTATACTGCATGCACATTATGATTTTCTCCTTTGCTGATGAATTCTTATCTAATAGTTTCTACCTGCTGAACTTGAGAGAATATCTGAGTTACTAAACCATCAAAGTGAATGATCGTTAACTAAGCGAAAACTTAAATGTGTAGATAAACGTATGAATTTTTAAACGCGTGAAATTTATTTTGGCTTCATTATTTATGTAATTAAATGTTTATTGTGTGCATGTTTTGTCTGTGCAAGTTGCATAAGTGTTAGTGTATTAAGTAAATAACAATAGAACCAGATTTCCAAAACCTGAAAGCAGGATTAAGGGGATAGCAGGGAAAAAAATATATTCCTTCATTGTTCACTCTGCAGTTTCATTGTTTGAAGATTAAAAGCATTGCATAATGTTTATTTCTGATGTTTCATCATCGCTCTTACAGCAGTTTAATCTGTGCTCCAGTTAGCACTTGGCAAACTCCTTGGTACTTTGAGATAAACAGTACCAGCAGGTTTGAGTAAAACTGGCTGGAGATGTGCTACCACTTTGCCACTAGGGGGAGTACCGCACTATAATGAATATTCACTTTCTGTTAAATCCATGTTTTCTAGGCCTTGACGAGCTTCAGGAAGCCAAAGAAAAATGAAATCGCCAAGATAAGCTTTGACCTGTACAAGCTGAATCCAAAGGATTTTCTGGGATGTCTCACTGTTAAAGCCACACTGTATGAGATTTATTCACTCTCATATGACATCAATTGCTCTGGATTCAAGTACCTTTTGAAGTGAGTACATTACCTGTCAACTTTACTAATTACATCTTACTTTATTAATTTTCTGATTATTCTTGTTGGTTTTCTGGTTTGTCTCCTTGAACTGTGTGAACATTTGCACTGATTCTTCTCTTGCAGTCATTTTATATGACTTTTCCTGTGTGGTGTCACCAATCATATTTATATGTATGCTCGGAGGAATTTCTCATCACCATATGCTCCCTCTCTGGTGGGAGAGAGCCAGCAAACATGACACAGTGCTTCTGCTCATTCTCTCAGCTAAGCTAATAATCCCTGTAGTCTCTGGATAGGAGTGGAACAGCTGAACCAACATCTCAGGGAAGCCACCAGAGCAGTTTTCCAACCATCTACTGCACACTAATGTACACAGTATTGATCCATAATCAACTCTATTTCACTTGAATGAAAGTACGTAATGAATAGAATTCACATGGAAATCAATCCAGGCCATAAACTGCAAGACGTATATTATGTACAAGGGCTCTTATTGATATAGCAGGAAAAAGAACCTGAGTCTGCCCCAGGGAGGACAGCACTGTTACCTACTGCACTACACTATACCATCCCGTTTCAGTTGACCCTTAACCCTTGCACTGACCAAAGCACTACTGCCAACTAATAATATAAGCTAATTATGGTAATTAGTCATGGTATTAATTAATAATAAGGTAAAACTAGAGCTATATGCAGTGTTTTGCATTTTGAGGATGCCCAGTTAATGTCATTCTCTTTCTCTCTCTGTCAGGTCCTCATTGCGATGTGCGATGCAAGTGACCAGAGTTACTGGTCAGGCTCTCCTTTATGGATCCACATGTGTGCTACACTACATAGGTGATGAACATCACTAAAGCAAGTGCCATCTGTGAATATTTCATATCACGTCCCATTTACACAAAGGACATTATCATGCTTTTGCTACACCAGCACTATTTTGTTAAAATGACCTCATTTTTTGACATTCTTTAATATTTGATTGTTAACTCGTATTTGTTCATTTGTCTCATAAATACATCAGAGGACTGGTCATCATTTTAATGTAGGGATGGGCGACATGGCAAAAATATGAAAATTATGAATATCGTCATATTGCCCACTCTCGTTTTAATGGCTCGTACGGTATCAATCAGTTTTGTCTGTGTTGTATATATATTTCACTTATAGCCATTCCTGAAATCCTGCCATTTTAATATAAATGTAATTGTTGATGAAAATATGCTCTACATTATGCTTTGTCAGCTTCATGAATATATGTATATATTTGTAAACTGAACACATAAGTGTATATAACTGTGACAGAGTTTAAATAAGCATATGAATCCTTGTTGTGTCTTCATTTTCATGCTAATTGTATGCATATAAAGAACGCACATTCTGATCTGACTGTGTGGTACAGTGTGAAGGTAACTAACTAGCTGTAGCTTAACACAGTAACGCAGTGACAGCAGGTCTAAACAGATGCCCCAAAGTCTGTCACAGAGTAAACTTAACCCATCCTTAAGCCCTTGCCTTTGAAAGAGCGGATAGCACCACTGTGACTGTGACCTACACTGTCCTGATTAGGTTACTGCTGTAATGAGATCGGAGCATTTATTAAGCCTATATGTGGCGGAGTTTCCCAATCCACCCCTTAACCAGTTCCGAAATACAGGCAAATCTGATTAATACAGTGATAATCAAGCAGTTGATTAAAGCTGCTCTGAGCTGGCTTTTCAGTGCTGTGTGCGGTGGGGTGGAAGCGTGGAAGGCGCTTACCTTTGTACCCATGTAGCACTGGGTGGCACATATAATATAATATCATGGTATTTTCCAAATATATCACTACTTCAGATGATATTTAAGTTAGCGTTAAATAGCTTGTTTTGATCGGACTGTTTTGTTCTGTTTTCTTCACTTAGAATGTCACCAAAGGGAATTCGTCTTAAATGTTAACCTCTTTTTAATCATTATGTATTTTATATATTTTATATTGTTCTTTCAAAGCAATCTGCAGCAGCCAGCAAATAACACATTGCAGTTTTATAGAGATTTTTCTGCTAAAATTGAAAACAAACATTTCAGTGTAATTAAATGGTTAAGATGTAAAAATAAAAAAAAAGTCATTTCAAGTGGTTTGATGTGAATTGCTCCATTATAGAGAAACCTATAGGAACCAGACACCTGAAGAGTTGAATGCCTCTAAAAGCTCCCTGGTATAAAGCTTGTACATGAAATGGTTACAAATACACTCACTGATGTCTGAGACATTGTTTTTAGAGAAGCTTATGGCCTCAAACACATTTTTTAAATCCATTCATGGTTGGACAGGTACATGCAAGGAGTTGTGAGGCAAAATAGTACCCAAAAACGTTTTTCAAATGATTTGTATTCATCCCTATGTTGCCATTATCGACATTACATTTTGTTGCTGTCCAAAAAAACAAAATAAATATCTCCAAAATGGTAACTTTGCAGTAAAGGGCAAAAATATTCTTTATTTTTAATATAAGTTAATGTAATGAGATTTGTTTCTAAATGATTTTGATGTTGATGTGCTAAAATGATGCAGAAAAATTAAAAATAGAAAAAAACTGTTTTGTTTTGTTTGTTTTTTTGGACAGTGACAAAATATAAACTCAGATTTGTATCACTGGTCATTTTGTTTATTGAATAAAACGAAATAACTAAAATTTGTATTGTAGACACTGTCTGCCCCACTGCTGGTCCCATCACCACCACAGTGGACTATTCTAACTGTAAGTTTCTCCAGACTGGAGCATTTCACATCAAACCAGTCTGAATGACTCTGTTTACATTTCAGTGATTGAATTATCCACAAATTTTGAAACATCAGTAGAATTCCCCTTCAAAACCTATATGTGCAGTATATCACCCTGCACTACTATAGTGTTACAGAGAAGCACTCAGCTGTGTCCTTCAGTAATTCAAGAGGGTGCTGTCTTTTCCCTGATTTAAACTCAAACATACTTATTTCACTTACTTATTTAACTTAATCAAGAGCTTTTAAAGAGAATCTCATTTTCCAGTATCTACTCCAGGACTGAGCACTTGTTAAGACACGTAGCTACACACACACCTAGTAAAAGTGTGTTATCAGAGAAGTAAATCTCTGAAACTAGAAGCGATGTGATTGCACATCTGCTCCGTCACTCAAACTCATATCAGTGCTTGTGGGCGAGAACTGCAAGTTGAAGGCCAGTTATTTTGTTCTCCACCCGTAATCTGACAAGTCCCCCTCTTCCTGCTCTGGGATTGGCTATTAGTCCACACACACAGCCAGTCTGTCAAAGCTGCTTGGCTGTGTTCTAACTGGCGTCCTGCTTTCTCTTGTACTAGCCATTGTGCTACATTCTACTTAGAACCCTCAGTTCTACTGTTTCTGATCAGGCTTTTTTAAAGTGAGTTTGGGGAATAGATTTCCAGGCATGATCAACGAGCAAAATATTGAAAAGTTAACTACTTCTTAGTGGTTGTGAAACCATCAGGATCTCTTGTCACAGATCCTGTGTAAAAACACTGGCTGGTGGGTGTAAATCTAGGGGTCTGCCAGTTCTCAACAGTTAAAACACTTTGACATCATCACTGTTATCCCAGAGCCAGTTTAGAGACAGCCATGCCACTTCCTATTTGTATTAATAACATGCATTCAACACACCAGAGTGCGCCCCGGGAGTGAGCTAGCAGGTCTATGCATTTTTAAATGGAGAATTCGGAGGGCTCAAAAATATATCAGAAGTGTTGAAATGTTTTATGCTGTTCTCGTGTTCAGGAAATCACTGAATTTGTTCTCTGTAATAATAATTAAGCATTTATAAACTTTTACTTTAAAAGCGCAATAGGAATCCATTTATTTTGACATGCGCTCTGGGGCGCCCTCTAGTGTTTGACAAACTCAAAACACATTATTCTCCCTAGTGTAAATTCTCTGGTTAACCTTTCACTTAACAAGCAAGTTTGTTAGCCTGCCATTAACTGTCATTTCATGGTGCAAGAAACCATTTAGCAAGCTAAACAAAAAGCAAGCATTTTTAAATGGACAATTTGCACAGTGTGTAACTTTACATGCAGACTTATTTTGATCATAACAACCTCCATTCAGTTTGTATGAGCTATTTTATGGCTAAATGTTGGGACAGTTTTCTGTGTCTCAAACAGTGAAGCTCCATAACCTGTGTGTGTGGACATGTTCTTATCAGCACAAACACCACTGCCAGGTCTAATAGCTTTCTAGACCTGCTAATTGTTATTACATACAGTCTATGTAAAAGAAACAAAATGAACTGATTTGTCATTTTTGCGCTAACTGGTTTAGGAATGTTGCGATTGGAGAGGTTAAAAACACGGAAACATTGAAATGTTGAATCTCCTCTGAGCATGGTGACTGCCCGCGATCCATGTTTCCCACACGGGACAAAGTAAAGCTCTCAAAAAAATGAACTAACACAGTTGTTTACAAACTGAAAATATGTCAACATTAAGTACATTGTGTTGTTCTATCCCACACATACACACAGGTTTGTTTTTATACAATGTTGGCACATGGAACAATACAAATATTCCATATGTATAATAATATGTTCCATAATAATGTGTTATATATATACATATGTATCTAAATGTACAATAACATCCCAAGATACAAAAGCTTGTACCTCCAAAATATTAACTTTTCAGGAGAATGAAAAACATATGTAACTTTTGATGTAAGATAATGGAGCAAGGTTTTTTTCCAAGTAATTTTGGACCATCTCTATTGGTCCGGTCTTTGTGTAATTTTAATACAACGTTAATGACAGCTGGCATTTTCAATTTTTGGAATAAATAAATAAATAATTATATAAATAACAAAAATTATTTTGGCCCAACAGTGCAATATGTTCCTGTTTTCCTTTATGTAATTAATAATTGTAATAATATATGATCTAATAATATATGATCTAAAAGTACCCCTGTATAATAATAGTAATATATCCCTTATTCATTAATCTATTTATTTATTTATGTGGGATATATTATTATTATTATTATTATTATTATTATTATTATTATTATCATTATTATCATATACACATGGATTTTATATATATATATATATATATATGAATATGTAATAACATTTCCTGTATTATATACTGTCACTGTTCAAAGAAAAAACATGTATCTCTAAAATAGTAACTTTATAGGAGAAATATATATTTTTTTTTAATTTTGAATGTAAGTTACTGTAAAGAGGAGCTGCTGTAAAAAAAAAATCCATTCCAATGAAACTGAAATAAATTGCACGATTTTGTTTCCATCATCGGTTAAATCTTTTGTTAACAAAGTCCTTGTATTCTGACTCTACTCAGTTTGATTTAATGGAAATGAGTGGAATCATTGAATTAAGCTCATAAAACAAGTCATTTGTTTTTAGTGCACTAGAGTTTTCCTGTCCTTTAGACACACAGATCACATTCTTTCAGTCCTGCTGCCCTCTTAGTGGTTTGCAGAACAGTAGAAATGGAGCATTTCTAGTTTTCTTCATTACTTAAGTGGTCTAATTAGAATACAAGTACGCGGATTGGAACGAGCCCTCCTGAGTATGCGCTACTATCCAATCACAGAGCAGGGGGCGGGGCCCGTCCGAATACGGGTGGGAACAGAGGCGCGTGTTTGCTGGGAGATCCCCGGAGAGCGGCCTCATAAAAGCGCGCTCTCCTCTCTGCTCTCAGCTGAACTTCTCCAGGACCCCTGATTTACATCTGACCACTGTTTCACTGCGGCAGAATGAGGGAAATAGTTCATATACAGGCCGGACAGTGCGGCAACCAGATCGGGACAAAGGTAAGAGCCGAGGGTTTCACTGTTTAGGCTTTAAACTGGAGCCTCACCCAGTTTTGTTAAGTCGTGTACAAACTTTTACAGTTTGGTCTCTTC